GCGTGTACGATCACAGAGAGATTATCATGGTATCGATTATAGAGAGACTGTGATTAAACTTGAAATTCAGGATTTTGCAAAAGACGAAAGAAAGACATATTAAATATATGTATATGTATCTTGAATCATAAACATTTTTCCATAATTAAATTTTGTTAATTCTTTGTTTCTTAATTTTTTTGTCATTTTATTTTTATTTTGATATTAAATATGCAAATAGATTGAAATGTTGATTCAAAAGGAGAGCAAATTCTTAACTTTTTGATGACTCCCAGGGAAGGGGACAAATGCGAACGCCCATGTGTACGTAATACTTGAATCGAAATAGAAATACTTGACGCGAATTCTTTTCGAAAATAACGAATCGCGATGAATCTCCCGAATCCCCAAATGTCAATCGATATCGACACGGAAATTTTGAGGAAATCGCCAAGTTATATACGCAGCCTCACGTCGGCGGATCATCTTTAATGGACTTGGAAGAGAGTTCTCTCTTTTCTCAAGAGCTCGAAAATATTAAATTCCCTCTCTTTTATGCAGAGACTGCTTCGTCAGTCGCACGCTGTCGAGGGAAAAAGCGAACAGAAAGGAAAAGAGAGTCGGGTGTTTGGGCTGCTTTCGAAGAAACGCGGATTCGGGACACTTCCGGATGCACATCCCAATGCATTCTGATATTACTTTCTGCGCCCGCCTCTCTTGCAATTGTAATGAGCGTCCGCTGCGCGCGACGTAGAGGGATTTGCTGGCGGTAATAGCATGCAAACATCCTTGCGGAGGAAGCACGCGAGAGGACGTGTGACGTCACGACGAGTTAATACATCTGCCTACCAGACGCGGAAACGCCGGTACAGTGTCCTCTCGGGCGAACCTTGACGATGGCGGTGGAATTTTCTCGCGTTTTACACTGGCGTGCACGGTTGCACCCGGGGTTTCCGCGCTCCGGGTTATAAAAATCCCTGCAACTGATGTTCTCTTTCTCTCTCGACGTCGACGTGCTACGACCTTCCGCGGACGTTAGCGACTAACGTGTATAACGAAGGACATGATGCGACGAAGAAACGTCGACGAGTTTTCCCGACGTAAAAAGCTTTTTGATAATCTCTTGTTTTCATATTCATAATTGCTTTATTATGCAGCATGAATTATTATCTTTTCATAATTTACTTTACTTCTATATATACTTGTGTATATACTTCTTGTTGTATTATTGTTTGCGCCAGGTTAATTTTATTATTGCGTTATCGCTGAAACATTATACATTATAATGGTTTGGCTCTTGGGAGAATATTCCCGCAGAAGGGAAGAATAAACTTGAAAACTCTTTTTGTAAACATTTATACGAATTTATACTTTTGTTCGTGACTTATGTCTTGAATATATTTCAAGTATCGCGTTTTATATCTCTCTTACGATTAATTGCAAATTGATTTACGCGACGATGATTAAAACTTACATATTAAAAGAAGATTTAATGCCGATCGTATATCTCAATAATGAAAACACGCTGCAGGATTACTCTTACTTCATCGCGCGATATTTTCGTAGATTTTTATACATCTACGGGGACGCAAATATCTCTTTCGCGATTCTCTTTACGCAAAACAAAGATGATTGCGTCGCGCCGAGGTACTCGTTCATACCTTTTTCACAATAATGATATGGCAAGCAGCGAAATGGAAGGAAAACATGATGGTGGAAAAATCGCGTTTACCGAACAAATTATAAGAAAATAGTTATGACGAAATTGTGGTTGCTACGTTATACGTACCATCGTGATGTGTAATGGTGGTCTTTCTCGGAGCGCGTTCTAAGAAAAATATAGTACGTCGGGAAAACTTTTTGGTTCATCGCTGTTTTAAACAATTCCACAAAACGGCACTTTTATTCTTACTTTTTTTTTCGTGTTTAATGGTCTACAGCGTACGCGCGATGTCGCCATTTTTATCCGCGAAAATGTTTAATGAGCGGAAGTCGAACTTATTGTTTACGTTATTACTTTGTAGAAAGCATATAAAATTACATAGGAATTAAACAATTAATTCTCGCGTTAACATTTTTTTTCTCTACACTGTATTATCTCGAATTATTTTTATAATTAAATTACGATAATTTTTCAGCGGTTTACATTGCATAAATTGAATTTTATTCGATTATTACTATCAGATATAAATGAATGTACATGGAATATCTTCGATAAGAAAATTAAATAATGAATTGAGAGTAAATGGACTAGAGCTAAAATACGCAATAAAATTTTTTATTGACGATTCTGCTAAAATAACAATCGGGGAAAATATCGCGAAAATATCGCCGCTTTTACCGGTTTCCATCTGCACCGGATTGTCATAACACGTCGGATGACGTCTTTGAGTCGTCAAATATTTGCCATATTTGTTGAATAAAGATATCTTCGCGAAGAGAGGCGTAAATGCATCCTGTTCTAAACATACGTGCGTTTTACACATATGAACTGTAATTCGCGAGAATTTAACATCGTGGAGAGAAGTACGCGCGCACGCTTCTCGTTCCACACACAAGTGACCCTAATGCATCCGATATCCGTTTTCTTAAGTCGGTCAAGACTCCTCCAGGAGATGCATTTCTACTCGAGACTTTCTTCCCATGTTCGCTCGAAGAGATGCGGGGCGCATTCGAATAGCCAAGGTTTGCCTGTTGGGGAGACTGGCGAAGGGCGAGATTGTGAGTCGAGAATCGGACCAAGGGGTGAAAGGGAGAGGGAGGAGAAGAAGAAAGGGTGGAAGTAGGAGAAAGATGATTTATCTCCCCTGGGCGCGAAGATTTTACCTCGGATGTTAGTTCCGCCGGTTGAACATCCAGATGGAAAGCGGGCGGTTCATGTTGGGCGATTGCTCAAGGAGGGGTTATCACGAAGTTCTTATCGGTGTGTACATAATTTTCGATAGGTTCGCAACAGTTAGTAGACGTAGCGGCTACCCTCTGCCCTTTGCGAACACGAAACTTGCTGTGCATCGGAATACTTACGACCGATGTTTGCGTTTGCGAAGCAACACATTGTTCCCCAAGGTGCATTAGGGCGGATTTTCCGCCCTTATCGGGGGTCAGTTGAACACGATTTAGTTGCGTGATTTTTGCCGAGCTTAATATTGGAGCGTTCGGCATCCCCGGGTGAATACACAATTCGACGCGCGAAGTTTCACCCCAAAGTTTAGTTCATGAAACTTTACCGAAAGTAAATATAGAGCGTGTTGCATATCCTTTCATACAGACACAAGCATACAAAGTTGGTTTTTAAATATTTATTAGAGATCAAAATATAAATAAAAATGAAAGCAAAAGGGCGATCACACCCAAAGCGAAAGATAAAAAAATTCTTTAATTATTTTAAGAATATAACGTAAAAAATTAGGGTACCTAATATTTTTTATTTTGAACATTTTATATACGAGATTTTTATATTTTAGATTATTATTTGTATTAAATTTATTAAATTTGACAAAAATTTTACTTATAAATAGCAAATTAGGCCAACAAAACATGTGCTCTCCGTTTTAGTTTTTTCTTCGTGGTATCTCTAAAGCCTGCTTTTTTCTTTCTTATCTCGCTGTACCCCTATAGAAAGCAAGCAAAGATTTTTATAACGGATTCCATCGAGTAGCAAACTATAATTAAGATAGCAAAGTGGTCCTTGCTCTGCAGTCGACAAGCTGTTGTCGATAAGTTGCTTGGCAGTTTGCTTTCGTCGGTGACCGAACCACTTTCACAGGTTTGTTTAAAAACAACGCTAGCCGTTGCGGTGTTATCATAAGTTCTTTGCTTGGAACACCCGTTCGGGATAATCTCCCTGTTTATAGAAGGGAGCGAGGTATTTCCAGTTTAAACGCATCCCCCTCCCGGTCAGCTTTCTTTAACTTCTTTGGCAAATACGCGCGAAAGATATAATCCGATTACATGTTTTGATACGTTTAGAGACGGTGTAGAACAACGTGCGCGCTTGACTGTATTTTACTGGATGTATTTTCTTGCCGTTTGCTTTAGTCTCATATTCTACGTGTAGTCAAAGAAGCGATTTTTCTTGGGTGTAAAGCCAATAATTTTTACAAATTTGTAGTTGTTCTATTTTCTAAACTAGAAAATGTTGAAAGGACGCGCTTTTTCTTCTATTTTATTTCTAAATATAAAAAAAAAAGATAAATATTTCCAATTAAAATTTATCCGTAGATTTCTGTCTGTGTGTTTTTTTACGAATAACGAGCATATTTTATGTACAGATGATTTGCTACATAAATAACATGCTTTATTTTTTCCAACTCTTTCAAAGAATTCGTTTTACTTGGATTAATGTTCTTCGAGACGTTAGTCCGTCGCCAGGGACTAATGCGAGATTCATCATTACACGACGACCTCATCTCGCCAGGGTCCGTTTTATTCCGTTCACGTGTCCCTATGAAATTATTCACGTTAGTCGGCGACACATTGTACCTCGCGGTTCTGGAAGAATAAATGGCAAACGTAAAACGCTGCGAAAAGGGAAGTCGTTTCTCGCCGATTTAAAACTAACCCGTTACGATGAAAACAATATTCGTTTTTACGATTATTTTCTTTATCAAGTTTTCGACGATTTCTGCAAGCACGAGCTTAATTAATTAATCGAGACATCGCGTCGCGTAACTCATGATTCGTCATATAGAGCTTGGTTATTATTTCAAATCTTTGCTTCGTCACGTAATCATATAATCGTATTATCAATTCATCACGTGACCGCTATCACATTTCAATGAATAATTTAGTGTTTTCTCAATGTTACAAGAACGAAGAAATGTTTTAATTAAAAATTAAAATTTCTTTGTTTTGTAAAATATAGCAAGTATTATTTATACTATGAAATTGAACAAAAACATAATTAATTTGTTTGATCATTAATAAAACGATCACTTTCGTATTTACAGCATCTCGAAATTGGAATCTTTCTAAAATGTCCAATGCTTCGGTGAAAATGAGTCACATTTTCTTGGTTCCAGCTGGGATGCCGACCATGGAATCTCAGTCTGACGAGCGTGATCATCCTGGCGCTGTCGAACATGCTGCTGACGTTCCTGCTGTTGCAATCGGAGACTTGTGTGCCGGAGATTATTCCACAGAAAGTGATAGAGGTGAGCGCCGTCACCGAATGGAATCTCGGTACCCTCGTCAAGCAACAGGAACAGCAACAGGAACTGCCAGAATGCATCACGCAGGATTATCAACCGATGTCACCTGACGCTAACAGTCTGCGGTTGGATATCAAGCTTGGTAGATGGGACGCTCGGCGGATATTCCGAACGTTCGACTCGGTGCTGGTCGGCAGCAAATTCACGGAACTGTCGCAGACCTACCGGGTGTGTCTGGCTACCCAGAGTTCCGTGGAGAAGCTGCATTCGCTGGTGCAGGTCGCCCTACACTGGACCGGACCGATGTCCGTGGCGCTTTACGCTGCTGGCGACGAAGAGTTCGAGGTGCTGCAGCGTTATTTGGTGTACCTGAGAAGATGCTACGAGTCCATCAGAGAGAGGGTGATTTTCTCTCTGGCTGTGCCGAAGGTGCGACCGCCTAAGAAGCAACCGCGCGTCTTCGAGCTACCGGACATTATCGATTGTGCCAAACCGGAAGCCACCCTGAACGAGTTCGCGAGTCATATATCTAGCGAGCAGACCAACTGGCGAATACGAAACGTTTATCCGCAGAACCATATGCGTAACTTAGCGCGCAAGAACTGCCAGACGGACTACGTGTTTCTGACGGATGTTGACATCGTGCCGAGCTTCAATCTATCGCTCGCGCTCGACGAGTTTCTCAGAAGCGACAACTGTGATAAGTGCGCTTATGTAATACCCACGTATGAGTTGGATACGCGCATGAGATTTCCCCAAAATAAGACGGAACTGATTAGACTGGCGAGGAAGGGCTTAGCGAGACCCTTTCATCAAAAGGTCTTCATACATAATCAATTCGCTACAAATTTTACAAGGTAAATTATTTTATTAAATATTATCTCTTTAGAAATTTCTTGAAATATTTGCTTCAATCAACTGGAAATAAATTGACATTAAAATGTATTGATATAATCGATTTACTGTCCGTTGAATTGAAATTGATTGAATTAATATAACGATGTGAATATGCAATGGTTTTTCTATTATGAGTTACACTATGCTGGTACGACTTTAATATATGTCATTTTATCGTTATTCACGAATGATTATTCGGTGAACGTAATTTATATACTTGATTGTGACTCTCTTTTCTTTTTATATATCTAATTTTTGTCTCTTTCTATAGAAAATATGGAGTCGTTAACTAAGCATACAAAATGTTACTTGGATACCGCGTGACATATGTATGCTTGAGAACTTTTTATTTTATAGGTGGCTGCAGGACGTGTCACCAACCCATAAATATCATGAAAACGTAAAGACCGGTAAGGTCTACGTTAGTCATGACGTGACGAATTTCGAATTCCTTTACGAGCCGTTTTACGTGGCGAAAGATATCGCGCCGTCTCACGATGAGAGGTTTATGGGATACGGATATACGAGGAATACCCAGGTACGCGATATTTCCTAGGATACATCTCTTTTTTCTGTTTGCGATCCACGTGACGAATACGTTAGTGGGAATGTAGAATCAAAAATGCAATTTTTCCCTAACACGAAATAACATGAAATTTTACAATGCGAAAGTTTATGTTCGATCCGAGTGGTGGATTTGATGATACGCGAATGCATGTGGCTCTTTTCGTTAATATATGAAAATACTTTCGAGAAAATGAGCCGCGCTGTACGCGTATAACGCACCATCATGGTCTGCTATTTATAAAATTATCAAATCAGTCAGCAATAATATCGTATAGAAGAGCTTAAATTAAAAATGCTTTCACGGCAATATTATCATCGATATTCTCGATGAAAAAGCGGACAAGTGATAAAGAATATAAATGTTGCTCAGATCCAAATATATCCATGATAATTGCACGATCGTGAGATGGTATTTTACTGCGCTGTTAGTTTAGCTCAACGTGGAGAGGTATAAAAAGTATTTCATCGAAAATTAATATACCTTTCGGGGCATTAATGGATTTAACGGAGATAAATGGCAATAATGGAACCGGCAGCCACTGTCCATTACTACGTTTCTACGTTTCTATATAAATACGTGGCATAAATTATATTAAACTAAAAGACACGTACATTTTGGGATATTATCGTTTGGGATGATCGTTGTTAAGTTTTTAGCATAGCGAGTTTTCGCGTTACGATAGCATCGATTGCACGATTATTTTGCACACTATTATAATTGAAAAGAGCGTAACACAAATCGCAAGGATGCATGCTAGCGAGATAGGGGGGAAACGAGCCAAGGAATGTATGGTACGTTCGAATAGCAAATTGGAGTGAGCGTGCCCTCGTGCACAGCAGCGGCATTAATTGAATTACATATTATCATTGCCGCCCCGTTATCGGGCGATGGAGGCTCGTTTCGCGGAACGGTCATTATTCAATTTAAACTTGATGCATCCCCGGTTGTGTAATCGAACGTTTGCATATCGGGATAGGGTCGTGCGAGACTGCAAATTGCGTTTGCTAATGTATTTTTCAGGCACGTCATCCTCGTTACTAATACATAATAGTTTGCAGGCACGTTACATCCACCCTCGATAGGATAAATTATGAAAGAATCGCTAATTTCTTAGGTCGATAGCATCAAACTTTGAAACTTCGTCATGCTGCCATGATGCGGGTACGAAACTTGGATATCTCGGGAACGCGAAAGTCTAAAAATTTGAAAGCGGAAAAACAATATCTATAGATGCTTCGATTTATCTTTCGTGGAAATTTGATCGTCAGTTTTCCTTCTCTCTTATTTCTCTCTGGCGCTCTTTTGTTGTTTAAACACAGCTGCGAGAGAGAAAGATCGCGGCAACTAAAATTGCAGCGACCCCTAAAAGATTATTTGCGTCGAGAGCCGCGAAACGTCGGCGAGAACTTTTCTCCGCTCGCAGTCCATACAACCCCCAGGAGTTTGCATACCTCTCCGAGCATATGGATGTACGTTCGTAGGGTGGCACGCGGGTCCCGCGTTGTTTCGACGAGAGAAGTATACGATGTTCGTGGTTTTCGACCCCGCGCCTGCCGGAAATAACGAAATTCCATCGCACGGCGAAAATCCGAGCGCGACGACCGTAAAACGAAGTATGCCAAGTACCGACGGCAATAAAACGAGTGTAAATCTACGTATATACGTTATCTCGCGACTGCGTCGTCGACTTGCAAACAGTCGCGATGCTGTGGTGTAATGGCCGTGGTCATGCGGCTGATATTACACGTCGCCGGATACCGGAAGTATGCATTCGCCGCGTCTCTCTTTCAGGATTTGCATCGCGCGACATACATTCGCTTCTACGGAGGAATGGGAATAGGATATCGTGTCCGTTTGTTCTATCTTCTTCTCTTGAGGGCGATACGTTCAGCTGCCGGAGACTCATTTCCGAGACATATACTATTAAGGCCAAGCTACTACTTGATAGGGAGGATTCCTCCGTCTTATAATCTTTATCGTTTTTAAAAGTATATATGTTCTATGCCATTTCATTTATAGTAGATTTTTCAAGGCATTTTACTTTGTTACATGTTACTCGTATGTTGATTTTAAACATAAGCGTCCGCGAGATTTTTTCCAAGAGGGAGCATAATTAAATTTTTGTTTGCTTTTTATTTTCTGTTCTTTCATTTTTTTGTTATTTTCATTTTTTTATATTAAATATTTATACAAGTTCCAGTGTTTATTCAAGAAGAGATCAAATGCTTAATTTTTACCGATTTCAAATGCCCTCCTCTTGCGGATGTCCATGATTTTGAAGAATTTCGATCTGCACACACCAGTCGAAATTTAGATCGCAATCTGCGAGACGCCTCTCCCGTCGATATATATATATATATATATATATATATATATATATATATATATATACAATATGTACGTTCCTCGCTGCCGGCTAAATTTTATTTCGCGTTAATTAATCTTCGGTTGTTTGCGTATACAATATGCGAGAACAATGCGGTATGCGCCATAATCGCGACGCAATTACGCCGGTTTCCCGGCTCGCCTCGATTGCCCCGGCAAAATGAGCATGTTAATTGCCGATCGATTCGTTAATTCTCCATGCTCCCTCCCGGTTCTTCCCATCTCGTAGCCTTTGTCTGCTCGAGCGGGCTTAACGTTCCTCCCCCGAAACAACCTTCAATTATCCAGCGACGTACCGGCCGATTGTCGACGTGACCGATATAAAGGATTCGGGCCCCGACACGCGTTGCTCGCCTTCCCACCCGGCGATTCGTGTATATATATATCGCATCGATGATCGATCTTGTCATCGCCGATTCGACACGCCAACGTAGTCGAACCTCGAGGGATTCTTTATTGTCGTGTTTATCGAGTGCGCCGATCGGGCCGGCACGAACCGTCCCGGCTTGATATCTCATCAGACCCTGGCGTTATCGGATTGATTCCCAGGGCTGCCGCATCGTGATAAGCGAGATAAGCCTGGCGTGAGGGATGGAGGAAAAAAATTGCACAAGTAACAAAAATTAACGCACATTTTTATTTGTAGTTTGAAAGAGTACTTAATTGTAATTGTAAATGGAGAACCGCGTGAAAATCATCGTAATAATCGGAGTAGTTTTCGCGAAGCTGATATTAATTAGAAAATTGAATGTCGATTTGTGCGTTACACAAGGGGTGTAAAAAAATCTCCATTTCTTTACCGCCGGCTTTGCATGAGATGACGTACTTCTATTCGCATCATATATACCGAGTGATACTTATTGTCGTTCGCCGTCTGACATTTTTTTTCTCATCGTTTCTCGATTCATTATCCATTATCGCTTCGGGCTAATCTATAATAGCGATACATTCGAGCTCGCGCGAGTAGATAGGTATGTCGTTGTCGCGAGAGAAGTGGCACCGAAGTATCGCACGCAAGCACCTCGCAGATGATTGTAATCAACTCGGAAACGAGATAGTTCGTTCTAGACGCTTCAACGTAGCGGTCACTTCGCTACGTTGATTGAGCGATTTGGTCGGCCGAGATCGTAAATCAGAGCCAGCCAACACGAATCCAGAACGATCCGATTTGCTCGAGCTGGTTGCGAGCGGCACCTTTCATCGTATGCAGTTTGTCGAAAACGGGATATGGGGTCTAGACATTTATTACATATTATTATTTTCTTTTTAATTATTAAATTAATAAATATTTATCGATTTAAAATAATTTTTTATCAGTATACGACTTAAAAAGTACGAGACACTTAAGTGTGCAATGTATATAAATCAGTCCATAGGAATAAAGATAAAATCATTAAAAGTAAAAACTTTCACGTTTATTATGACGAGAGAGAGAGTCGAACGTATCGCTATACATGAAATATTTTAAAATTAATAAAAATAAAAAAAAATTCAATTTGCAGAAGATGGAATATTTTTACAAGCCTATCAGCCTATCGTTGATCACTCATTAATACACTTAACGTATATGTACAGAATTGATGTTGACGAATTATTTCGCACGCCTCATTAACGCTTGATTCAGCTTTTGACATAATTTATTTCAGCTTAATTCGTTCGATAACGTGGCTGTTAATTTTTGACGTAGCTCGCTTTGCACATTCAAACATGATTGGTGGCGTATTTCGTAACTAAATGTTTAATGTGATTAAATAATATTGAATGAGTAAATTTTATTTTATATATTTTGCATTACACGCATTTAAATTTGCATCCGTAGCAAAGTGCTGAGTAAATTAACCTATGCGAATTTGAATTATCGGCGCATACATCAAGCATATATTTCGTATATATCGTAGCGGCTGCATTTCATAATGCAAATTCGATAATGGAGCAACAAAAATCTTATTCGATTTTCGAATATTATAGAATCGCGGGATGTATGCGTATCGGCATTATTTCAATGCATCTATGCGTTTAATTATTCCCACGCATTTCTCCGGCGATCTTTTTCCGTTAACCGTTTTATAATTGAATTGGTCCGAAAGTGATTTTCGATTAAGCGTTCCGGTATTCCACGCAGCGATGTCGATAGCCAACGATCCAACTCGATCCAAAGGATGTCCGTAATTTAGCGGCTAGTTCTCTTATGGAAGATCAATGGCCGCGGCTTGCAGGCACCGTGTAACAAGCAGCAATTTAAGTGTCTCGCAGGATAATGCAAGTTCCCTCTCGTTCTCTCTCGTAGAGAGAGAGAGAGAATCGATCGATTTTAACCGTATCGCGCGAAGCTTCCGCAAGCAGATTTGTCGTATTTACGACGAGAAAAAGAGGCGCTCGATCGATATGTATGCGCAGATATATTTGTACCTTTCTTCTTAAAGTGTTGTAAAACTGCAAAAAAGATCTCCAACACGTCACACGGTTGCACGTGCAAGTGTGTGCGCGCGCGAGAAGATATTTCTGGAGCGTCGAAATTTTGAATTCATCTAAAATTACACGGATTTCCATTTCCGCTGCTCGCTCCATTTAAGCGCCCTCGAAAC